ATGCGGGAAAGGAAGGCACCCAACCAGAGAAGGACATGGATGAGATGCAGTATATAATGAGCGGTGTGGCCAGCGCGGTGGACTCGGATGGAAGGCGCCTGACGCGTGGTTCTGGCTTCTGATTGGTCAATAAAGCCTGTTCTTCTGTACCAGTCTTTTATCTATTAGGGCTCGGGTATTCTACATTGGTGGCAGCGGATGCGTTCGAATAACGCAAATCGAACCCCAGCCCTTTCTCTTCAGTGGTCAACGCAGGCAAAGACCCTTAAATGCCAGCTGAATTTGTCATGGCGTTCATCCGATGTCCAATAAACTGGATCTATAGACATTGCCCGGGATTAGGACTACTGCATCTGAAGAGGCATTGGCAACTCAACGACGACGACTTGGACAGTGAAAGCCAGCTGGACTGCATCTGCGAAGGACCTTCGATGGATGATGAGTCTTTCCTGCAAGTCTACAAGAGCAAAGTCCCTCGTCAACTATTCGCGTGGGCCACTATCCTGCCAGATGTGGGGTGCAAGGAGTGTCGAACTGGATATTTTACCAACACTGGATATCAACAACAGTGAGATAAACCAAGCCAGAAGCTGGGGAGAGCTTCACTCCTAAGGGGGAGGCAGTGTGGCGTCGGATTAGGGCGCAGACATGTTGGACCACCCGGCCGCAGCCAATCCCGTGTCCGTCTGCGATCCAATGGCATGCGGGAAAGGAAGGCACCCAACCAGAGAAGGAAATGGATGAGATGCAGTATATAATGAGCGGCGTGGCCAGCGTGGTGGACTCGGATGGAAGGCACCAGATATGGGGCTCTGGCTCGTGATTAGTCAACACAGCCTATTCTGTTGTACCAGTCTTTTTCCTATAAGGGCTTGGGTATTCTAAAACACGATGTTTAAACAGCCCAGTTTATTTTGAATATGTCGCCGAAAAAAGGGACAGAAGTAAAACCTCCTGCAAATAGTTGTTAGGATGAATATAATTTGAAACACGTATTGCGGCAATTGTATGAATTTAGTCATGTTCATTGCGTTATTCCTTTCATAATGTGATGTAGTTTGCTTGTGTCGATAAAAAGCCTGATTTCTATTTTGTTAATACTATTAATTCAAACGTTTATTAGTATATTTTTTACTATAGAACATGTGGATTGTTATATAACTTGATATTTTATTAAGGAATCTATTTAGGCGATGGCACAAATATTATATCATATTTAATTAATAGAAGGGTAAATTTAACAAATACCTTGTTAAAATTTTGATTGCTTTTGAGGGGAAGCTAAGGTCAATAATAACAAGAAAAACAAATTACTACATCAGAAAGGTCCATTAAATAGATCATTGGATAGTGCGGTGTATTTTTTTCCAATAATTCAGAAAGATGTGGAAATTCCTAGATACTCTGTAACTTAACGCAGCAACATAAACATTCTTAGCTGCATCACATTTCTTGGACGCCACATTCTTGCTTACCATTTCTGAAGCACAACATGCAAAAATATTTCAAATTTGTCTTGAGAAACAAGTTTTGATTTCGCCCAATGTTTTAATCACATTTTATTTATCCTACTTGTATATAACAACAACTGACTAGACTAATTTTATCTTCCTAATCTATCGTGTTATTTTGGCCGCCTTATCAATTTCCACTTCTGCCATTTACTTTAACTCCTAATTGCCGCTCCACTACTCGTATTATATGTTGCTTGAATTATTCTCAGTTTTATCGTGCAACTGGCAAATCAGATTTGGATCTAGGAATAAAGGAAACAGTAGTAATTACTGATGCAGACGATAGACCACACGTGACTGATTCTATTTGTGCTGGTATTACTGGAGAACTAAGGTTTTAATGTAGTTACTGGCTTAATAAAATACGATTTAAAAATTCATCTTAGTCGTTAAGGCGGTGCAAAGTTTTCATTTCTTGCTGCCGCGTTTACCATTCCCTTTAATAATAAAAGGAAATATTTTGCTGTTGAATAACACAAATCAGGCTTCAAGGTAGTTTTTTTTCGTCGGTTATTATATACGTCATTTTTTTGCCGCAGTTAGATAAAATGGTCCAAATCTACTACTTAGAACCATCCTGACAGTTTCTATCCAAATACATTTTACAGTTTTCTACAATTTGAAATATGAATAGCAGGCATAAAATAAGTCCTGTGCTTCTTTTTGAGACCAGATGGCCTATGCAAAATGGAGAATGCAAGTTGACATAAAACTAGTTTATATTGGTGAAATATAACAGTAAATTTAAAGCGTATTTCATTAACTCATTTCAGCCCAAGGCCCTTGTTATTTAGTTTTAGGTTATGGATATTCGTTGCGAATTTCGTGGATTACCTGCACAATTATAAAATGCGAACAATGTTTAATACGTCAATCCTCTCTCTGCTCGTGTAGGTTTGGCATGTCAATACAAAAAAATAATGAAGATGTGTTTTAAAACAACTTATTAGTAACGAATAGAAGTCCCGTCATATTACTCTTAAAATGGAAGCGGCGCCAATTACTGTGATGTTATTTTTTAGGCTCCAGAAAGCAATATAAGCAGAACACAGTTGAGTTTGAGTGTGAAAGGCTTTTAAGTAATAAATAATGCTCAACGAATGAACGAAACATAAGAGAAGTACATAAAACTGAAGACTATTCAAGGCAGATATTATTGTCATTAGTGTGAGGACGAAATAGGCTGAAAATTTATAGGGAGATTTATCGCCGTGTGAAGAACTCGAAGGAAAATGAGCGCAGTTTTATTTGCAACAACGTGTCTAAAATTGCTGTTTAAAATATATGTTGTGAATCTGGATAAGAAAAATTGGTGAACGAATGTCTGTTATTCTAATTTTCATAATATTGCACATTCCGAGTATCTTAATTTCGAGTCAAGACTTTATATGTGTATTTTAATTACACAGAAGGTTCTTCCTAGTACTGCATGGGGTGGTCACAAGTATTGATAAGACTTTTTAGAAAATTTAATCCATGTCGTACCTTTATTTGTTATTATTGTTGGATTTGTGACTTCGTACTTAATAAAAAAGCTATAAATACGACTGCAATTAGCCACATTGAAGTTTGCGCGTTTTCCAGTTTGCGCGGCCTTTTTGTATAAGACCATCTGCTTTTTACTCATTTATTTTTTTCCTAAATACAGGTGGCCTGCATTAGCTCATGTTAGTTTCTAATTTGTTTGTATATGTTAGAAAAACATCTTTAAAGTATTGTATATGAAATGATGCGCTTATTTGACATCGTTTTCTTTTTTTAATATATGAAATTGCATGTCAACAACCTTCATTGGTACTCACTCGTTTGATTTTAGTGCATAACTCAGTAACCATTTGGAGATTAAAATTGATAAGCTAGTGTTTCTGGAAAGCGGTGTCATCGCGTGTCAGTGTTTCTGTCTTATTAAAAACGGTTTAAAACTTTAGCCTTTAATTTTCTGTACATTGAAATATTGCTATTTCCTCCACTTTTGTGTTGATACTGTGCTGTTAACACTGCCTTTTACTTTAATGTCGTTCTGTTTTTCCTTTTCGATGACTCAGGATGAAAAATCGTGGGAGAAACAGGTCATCGAAAAAAGCGAAGGCAGAAAACGGCCAGGCTGATCCATCAATTACTAACCTGTAAGTGAATTTTAAGCATTATGTTGTTACCATCATATAGTACTATAATGCCCTCCACCATCTTATGTTTCACTCGACTGTTTTAAAAAATGTAAAAGCTCATCTGTTCCGTCAATTTTTGGCACATTGTGCAACCTAGTATTCTGGCGCATCTTTAGATGAACTTTCCACATGTCATTTATCACACTCAGCAAGGGTATGCGACCTGTTTTCTGTTAGCGCGGTGCTTCATATGGCAAATCTCTTATAACCTTAGCTTCATATTTAGGTCAGCCTACATTGCTATACAAACTTATTTTATTTGTTTAATCAAGGGTTTTGCTCTGCGCTCTTCTCGTTAATTTTGTCCTTTGAGTAATCTGTCCGATTGACGTCAGGATGCCTTACTTTTCACTTTACAGAAAACCCACTGACCAGGAACACCAAAGCATGCTTTTCCCCTCGGCCGAGGTATTCGTTCGTTCTCTCAATGGGAAAAAATGCATCAAACGCGTAAGCGAACATTGTAATGCGCATATCTCGATGCTTATTCGCAACAATTTACCAAACTGTCCCCAGTTTTGTTAACCGAGAAATTGATTTTGACGTTGCTTTACGACCCCAAGGTGGCACGAAAGTTCTCAGAAAATGTTTTTTTTTTCATTCTCTTATGAAAAGCAACTGTGTAAGGTTGTCTACTCAAATCCTGATTTTTTAAATCCCCGAATATATAGACAGTATAGACGATTAAAGGAGGCTTTTGCCACGTCTCTTCCACGTCACCTTCTTCTCACCGAAAATTCGTTCCTTTTTGAATCCTAAAATGAGGTTGTAGTGAAATGTAGCTGTGAAAATGATAGAGCCTCTCTACTACACAGAGTATTTGTGGTAACGCACTAAATTGCCTGCTGTGGTGACTAAATATGTATGTTTGGTGAGTTACTTGGATTTCAAAGAACAACACGTGACGCCTAGTTTGCGCTGCCACTTAACCGTTTTGTCTCTCACGTAATACGATGCTCTCACATTAGTGAGCAATGCCTTCCGACTCGTCTGGCAATTTGTAAATTTTTCGGGTCTATTGTGTACTAGCGTGGTGTGATTCCTTGTTGACCATCCAATTTGGGCAACCAAGTTAACATCCAATTGTTTACCAAGTTAACACCTCGTGTTTTGCTTCGAATGTCACAGTAACTCGAGCGCCTTGTCTTCTAGATATCCTCATGAGCCCAGTTTAATTGCGCAAGCACACAAGTGTAGCTCCTGTCTCCCAAAGTGGATATTTTCCAACTATCCTCGTTTGTCTATTTGATTTTTGCAGCAAAGTTAATGTCTCTGTCCACTTAAACTCTAAACTTATTACTGGCACTTATTCTGGCGTGATTCACACGTCTCAAATACTTCGTAGAGAATGTGATCTCTGACACGAAATGTGAGTGCATTGCTCTGACTGTTGCTCATGTGCTTTCTAATCTCTAATTTATGTGGCTGTGTGTTTTCAATTTCCTGCTCGATAATGACTACCACCTTCTGTTAATTCCTGGGAAGTGGAAGTCCCCAAGTCTACCTATATTCCTTTAACTGAGTGCGCTCTAAGCCATTTGCACCACTTCACGCGATCTTTTCTGATTTATTTATTGGGAAGGAAGTCACTCATTTGCATCCTCCTTTGTTCTTGTGGCTTTCTCAACCACTCACAATTTCGGACCACCTGAGAGCAGTTGCTGACCAAAAAGCAACTTAAACGAACATCGGATTTGATTTAATTCCTGGTATGAAGCCTGTTTAGCGTGCAGTTCGCCTACTCTATTTTTTACATTCTCCAAATTCCCATCAAAATGCCGCTTTGTGCTCGCGGTGCACACCCTCATGTGGGGCGTACTTTACCGACGCCGTTTGTCATAATTCAGCTCATTCACTCTTTCTAAGTCGGTGTGTCTTTTCCAGTCATACTTTGTTACCGCCAGGTCTTTGCGTGTTTACTACCAATCGTTTCCATCCCCCGAGTTTTTTTCAAATCAAGGCTAATGGAACCAAGATCGCCTCCGTGGAAATGGTTCCCAGATATCTTGCTTAACACACGTTTGGCGTTCAGTCTATGTGACAAAAGTTCTCATAAATTACCAGAGTAATGATTTCCGGAGATTGAGCCAATAGATTGTTAACGGCGGTTGACACTTTCGCTCTACCTTGGACGAAATCATCCATATTATTATTATTAAGGCCTATTTTTAGTATATCAAACAGACGTTTTCGTAGCCTCAGCCACCATCCTTCCGCCAGTTGCTTTGGTGCATCATCAAGCTAGCTACCAGTGGTTTCATTCGAATGAATTACGCACAGTTAGTGTCTACGACGGTGGTAGGGGGGGTATTCAAATATTTGGAGATCTTAAACCTCATCTTTATCGCCTTGAGGTCAATTTGGCGTCCTTATTTAAGTATCTAAACCCCCCTCCTGTTCCCCCACCACTGAATCTCGTCAGCGTTGTTTATGTTTGCGAAAGTCAAGGCTATGTTTTGTTCGACATTGCCTTATTGTGGAGTTGCCCCTTTGCAAGGTCTGTGGCGAATGGTTGAAAAACCTGGCCTGCAGGCAATTCATCTTGGTCTTTCTTCACACTTTAAGGATCATCTGTGATTGCTTGCGGTTAGATGAGTACCCTTGAACCCCGCGTTTTCGTATAATGCAAGGTCGAACCTACTTCCATTGCAGATTTTGGTAGCAAACAATGGCATCGCGGCGGTGAAGTGCATGCGCTCGATCAGGAACTGGGCCTACGCCACGTTCAGGAATGCAGAGGTCTTCTTCTTCGTGTGCATGGCCTCCCCAGAGGATATTCGCGCCAGCGCGGAGTACATCAAGATGGCCAACAAAATTGTCATGGTGCCTGGTGGCTCGAATATTAACAACTACGCCAACGTCGAGCTCATTCTGCAAACGGCCGTCTCTAATCACGTCGACGTAAGCCACTCCTGCTCCCGTTCACTGTCCACACCTGTCTTTCTGCTATTACAGTTGACTCGCTCTTGGGTTTAGCCAGTTGAGCAAGGTCGACGTGCTTTTCGGCAGGATAAATCGATATCGTCACCTTACCACCACAGACATTCTCTCGTCTTTGTATAGCATCTTTTGTTGCACTGAAACGATGGCAACGATGGTGGTCTCCATTTTTTAAAATTGTGACACGATTTACTACCGGGTTTAACTCGGATCGAATAATGGGAATTTTGTGGGTATATTTGAAATCCGTCTGCGTAACGAGGGGTTCTCGTACCCGAGCGTATGGACGGGGTTTGCGCGCCACGGCATTTGTCCAAAAGACGTTCCAACTTGTGGTCTGTGGTCGATTTTGTCGAGAGGAATGCACTGGCTGCTAACGACCACTGGTTCGAGCCTTGGGTGCATCAGTCGACTGGTGTGATGCGTAGCCATTCTTCACTGGCTGTCGCCAAACCTCTCTGCTGTAATACCCGTTCCCTTTTTTCATATCATTTTTTTTCGTTTATAGGCGGTGTGGGCCGGCTGGGGTCACGCCTCTGAAAACCCGCAGCTCCCGGAGGTTCTCGCTAAGCACAACATCGCCTTCCTGGGTAAAATCCCCTCCTTGAGAATTTCTGCTGCCTGTTTGTTAACACCAGGCATTCCTGTGTAATTCAGTAATGGTAATAATGCGTGCTAAATTTAGGCCACCGGCGACACTGCTACTTTGTCGAGACTCACCTAGGCATAAACATTTTGTAACAAGGAAACCCATTGCTGAAGGCTCTGGCATGTGATCTCAAACCGCATCGGAGTCGCCACGTTGTATCACTCTGATTACGTCGCACAGATTCCCGGGAAGACTAAGAAGACTGGAGACAGTGGAGACACAAGCAGTTACTAGATGGCTCAACCCAGTTGTGTTGTGGTTGCGGCGGCGCTGTGCGCCAATGTGGTGTTTGACCCATTAAATAAGCAGACAGGATCGCGTGAGTGTGGGGACGCTAGGACATGGGGGCGGCGTGTCTGGCTTTGGCAATCAGTGTTGAGGCGATGTTTATCCTTGGACGTAACCTCCGCTGAAGTTGGTATCCAACAATTTAAGTGACATCTGAAAGATTTCAGTTCATATAATCTAGAATTTGATAAAGAATGGACAGTACTTTTGCACTAACCTGGTGATAATGTAGTACCTAATCTGTCACTAGTTTAATTTTGGTTCTCATTGAAATCTGGACTGATCGGTGGTTCGCCCAACAATACGGAACTCCCGAAAGCCGTAATGTTGCGGTCTACTAGTGAATACCCGTGCACACGACCAGCAAGTACTACGGATTTTATTATACCTGCAAGTCCGTTGGGGCCATCCGAACCGTAAAAGCCTTACAGTGGTTTAATGTGAATGTTCGTTTTATGAATTTCTTAGCATTGTTTCGTCAAAAGCTCGTCTTTAAATGGTGATTCGTTGTAGGATCCATAAATTTGACCTCATCCACTTGTAGTGTCTTGCCAGCCCTGCCTCAACCCTGCAACCGATGAACTCATAAAAACCCGACACGATAGACAAGACAGGCAGCACCAGGCACGGTCGTTTGTCCTGCCAGCTAAGTGTCTTTGTGTGCGGTTGAGTACGCGTGCTTAAGGGGTGACCGCTAACACTAACCAATAAAGTAGGGGTGAGCCGTTGCCACACTCTGGCCAGTAAACACACATCACCCACGGGAGATGGTTGGCAGTCCAATACACGCCTGGTGGATGTTTTTTTCCGAGTGACACAGCGGTCTTCAAATCGTGTGTTGAAATGAGATACTGGCAATGCCATTTTGACTGTTATCTAGGTGATAACGAGGAGCCAAATTTAATGCCATTCAAACAACAACTACAATTCAGTTATTTATGCATGAGATTTCATTGTTTTGCTGTCACACAGCAGTGTTACCTCGGTATCAGGTGTTCTCTTAATCAACTTGTTTATTTCTTTCAATTCTTTTCCATGCCTTCGAGATTACTAAGAAGCTCCCGTGTAAAGCCACACTTTTGTGTCAATTCATTGGTACCTGGGGTGTTTGGGTTGCGAGGAAATAAAATGCATTTTGTGGAATTTGTTGTGCATCCTCCCGATAGGCCGTTATTGAGTCTTTCGAGTCTATCAAACCACAAGTATCCATGAGTCTGACTAACTCCAATTAAGCGGGTACCACATGATGACGGAATTGTGCCAAGAGGGCGCTTCCTTGTACCCCTGTTGTCGGATCTTCTCCGTCAACGCGCCTCCGAATCCCAGGTCCGTTTCTTGTGCGTTTGCATTTCTTCGCACAAAGCTCTCCATCATACGACAACCTCCTGACTGACTGTCTGGAGTGTTTAATTTTCATAGTTTGTGTGTCCTTGTGTAATTTTACCAGTGTCGTTCTGCTTAATTTGCTTTACATTAAGCACTTGCGGTTAATGTCGAAGAGAACACTTTCCAATGCTGCATGTGTATCGCCACCTCCCTCCTTTATAATACTTGAGCCGTTTGCTCACGTTTGGCCAATTGGCAAATCTTTTGAGTCCTGTGTCTATGTGAAACATTTTGAGAACCTATGCAACATTTCCGCTGAACTCAGTTCTCCGGAACGAGGTGATCTAAAATACCTCGTTGCATGAAATCAAAGCCGCGTTGCGTTTCTATATTGTCAAATTACGCATAAATGTCTTCAAAGAGATAGAGGCATGCGAAGTGTTTAGCTGCTTGTGTTTATGCGATTCTTGCCCCAGCGCCTGTCTTCAGCACACACGGTGTGTTGGGGCTGCTCTTCGTGCACCACTGTGGGGTTATTGGTACGGTATTACTGCTCCATTTTCCAGTCTATTTCATCTTACTGATATCTATAACCCCAAGTCCTTTCATGGCTTTCTCTGGCCATAGTTGAGGCCTAATTATCCATCTGAACGCGTTCATTGCCTCTTTCAGTTTCGTCGAGCGTGTTGGTGTAGAATTCGTGACGTCCCTAATTTCACTCAGTTTGTTCTGTCCATGTTGATCAAATCGACAACCAACATTCCCAAATATCACCCACTTTCGTTAATTTTATTCAGTTCTTAATTATGATGTTTCCGCTCTGACAGCCGACGTGTCTTGCTCCAAACCATCGAAGCTACAAATGGGACTACGGCCATTTTAATTAGTGGTGACGCTCTGTTTCAGTCACCATTTTTAATCGGTGATTCACACCAGATTATTTTTCGCATTTTCTGTTTAATAATTTATCCATAATATAATCGATTCTCCTTGATTCCTTCGGTAGTTTTCCTGTTGCTCAACTGTAGCTATTTGTGTGCTTGATTATCCACTAGTTAGATCACTTTTGTGGTTCGTGAACCATGTGATTTTGAGCGCAGCGCACCATTCTAAATTTTGGGGCCTTGGAGCTTCAGCCACGGCAATCGTCGGACGCCCCCACCGCTTGCTCCACTGGCCACGTCATTCGAAAAGTGCCACGGTGGGCACACTGCCGGTTTTAACTCACCTCCCTGCTTTGGCGATTTCAGTTTGACGGTGAATCGATTGTCTCTTTAACTAATCGGTCTTTCGCTCGCGTCATGGAGTTACCAAAAGTCTGTTTTATGGTCCAGCGATGACCTTCACTTCTGTTCAACCAAACTCTACACACATACACGAAGATCCGTAGGTACGAACGAAAAGTTTATCCTATCTGCTGCCGAACCCCCTCTTTCATGCACTCTGTGATGCAATTAACCGAAACATGTGGGTTCATCTGGTCTCGTGCCATTATGATTGCACGCCTTTGACAATGAATTTATAAGCAATGGATGCTACACTAATCTCGTGTGCTTCACTTATGACGGTTTGCAATCTTATCTGGTCGCCTTCGGTTGTAGAATTAGAGTGGGTTTGTCGGTTTATCTATAAAGTGCCAGCGCATGGAAAAGTCCCCCTCGCCTTCACAGCTTGGTGTTTTGATGGGCTGGTTTGCAGCAGTGTTCCGTCCTGCTAACTTTTCTGGTAGAATTTCCAGAACACCTCGGGGTCTATCCGGGGGTGTTTTCTGGTGATGCACTGGAGTATCTTGGGTATCGAGGACTCGAGCTGCATAAAAAGTTTGATCAAACGACTGTTTTGTTTTCTTCAATGCTAGCATTCCACAAGGGCCGTTAGCCCATCTCTCTGGGTCCAAAATGTATTTGACCACCCAAGCGGCGGTTGATTCGTGGCTGTTGACTTCACACCTCATCCTTTCAGGTCCCTCTCACGAGGCTATGTGGGCTCTCGGTGACAAGATTGCTTCAAGCATCCTCGCTCAAAGCGCTGGCGTTCCAACCGTTCCATGGAGCGGTTCTCGTAAGTTTTCCCTTCTTACTATTCCAAGATCCTTTGTTAGATGGGGTGTTGGTTTGAAGAATTGGTCGTCGTTGTTGTACTACACAAAAACAGCAGAATGCACTATAATCGAAAGTACTTTCGGTGTTTTTAGTTGCCACTTCTTCCTAACGTTCAACCATCTTTAGGTTTGGACTCAAGCAATGATGCTACCTTATATTTTTAAGTTCAGTTTGGGATAATGGAAACTTTATACAAACTGTTGGCTAATGATCGAAGCCAAGTCGAGAGAAGGTGCAAACGTGGATTGGCGCCTTTTTTACATTGACAATGTAAAGGTGTGTTGGCGAGGTCACCTAGAAGTCCCGCGTCGAGGCGTTTTACTAACCACAATGACGCATTCCTGAACCCCAATAGCTTTTAGGTCACAGTTCAGTCTTTCCTGATGTAACTTGCTCAACCGTGTGATATTTTGTGGCAGGAGTTCGTGAATTCTCGACACTCACAAGAACTCGCTAATCCACTCAATGCAGAGGAACGAAACGGGTGACACTAATCTGATTTTGTTCAAATAATGTCGGGATTTTCCTCTAAATTCTTAATTATAAAGTGCTACTTAAAGCCACCATACAAGCGTCGGAGCAGTGGTGTGTTTGCGCCGTTTAGTATGCCGAGATCGTTTTCTGTAGACGCCCCTCACCAATCAACTTTTCGCTGACAGCAGACCTCAATCCATGTTTAAACCCTGAATCACCTCTATCTACATGCGGGTCTTTTCGTGACGTTAAGCATTTAGCGGGTTGGTGTAGCAAGTAAATAAGCCATCAGACAGAACTTTTAACCTTAGCGTGTTAAACTGGATGATGAAATCGCCACCTCTCAACTTATTCACTGTCGATTTGAACGATTTGCGTTATTCACCACATCCATTAAAGCGTCCCTATTTTCCAAGTCTAGTCTAAGCATCGCCTGTTGTGTCTGACTCCCCGCGTCGGGCGTCAAACCAAATGTGTGTGTGCGGTTAGTCCGAAGTGTGTTTACTCACAAGCCAAGTCAACTTCCCCGCACTGGCTAGATGGTGTGTGTATGTGCGCATCTGTGACTCAAAGGGGCTTGTTTCGGTGTATCGAAATGATTGCGTTGTTTTCTTATAGAAGCCCAGCACGATTACCCCCCTCGAATCTTTTAGGGTGGCTTCACTTAGTTGGATTGATCCGGAGGAATCACGCATCATCTTTTGATTCATCCTGCAAGTTCAGCAGTTTTCATCGGGACATGTTCACGGCGGTAGTACTCAAACAACACAAAACGTTATTCTCGGTTCGCTTAAAAGACCTGTAGTATTGTTAGCCAATGCACAAACAATGATTTATCCTTCGTTTAATGTGACGTGCAGTGCTCAAACATCACATCGCTTTCTTTCAATTCTCTCAAGCCCTTACTCTGACATTCTGAGTGCGGTCTTGTCAGCGATTTTGAACATAGGGGGCAAGCTATGCCTGCGAACTGAATCGCTTAATGACCACTTTTTAAACGCCGCGTATTTCCTACCACTTTTGTAGATATCACTGTGGATATTGAGGGTTTGAAGAAGGAATCCACGCGTTCGCCGACACGGTCGTCGGTCGGCGAGTTGTCGTCATCGTCGTCCATCCAGCCCATCGCCTCGCAGCTCATCTCCGCCGACGACTTCGCTAATGCCAGCGTGAGGACAGTGGAACAGTGTCAGGCTGTCGCGGATCGCATCGGCTACCCCGTGATGATAAAGGCGTCGGAAGGCGGTGGGGGCAAAGGTATTCGACGCGTCACTCGACCCGACGACGTTGCCGGACTTTTCAGTCAGGTGGGCATTCAGCGTGCGCTCTGTACCCGTGTTGCCGCAGTTCGAAAACGACGCACCAAAAGTGGATTGGCATCGAAAGCACTTTTACATGCTTATCCCTACCTCTACCACTGTCCTATTGTTACTAAGAGTTATGTGCTGTCGTACTGTCACTTCATGTTCTTTGTTGTCAGCGTCCAAGTATGCGTAACAATTGGTGTTTTACATCGACAACTCGCCTGTGTACTTCTGCATCCTTTGTTCACTGGTGTAATTGCCGTTTCCCTAGCGTTTGAATGTGTTTCTCACCTGAATACAAAATCGTTTATTCAGGGATGAATTACTTGCTCCCCAAAGCAAGCACGATAACCATTTAAGTGAATTCCCATTCGTAATAATTTGAGTAGATATAGGTTTGACCTCAACATAGTGAGTTGGCAAGCATCCAATCAGAATTGTCAAAAACGCCTATGCATGAATTCCGGTCCAGGCTCAGAAAAGCGAATTTCCCCCATCAATTTGCGACCTTTGCTCGCCTTTTTTACTGCATTCTCATATTCAAAAAGAGTCGTGATTAATTACGCAAACCCACACAACCACCCCTAATGCCTCCTTCCTGTTAAGGTTGTTTTTCCGTTTACTTTGCTTGATTTCACTTGACTTCTGAAGCCGCCCACGCAACTCCCTGACCGTGTTGATGGATGTGTCGGCACCGAATACTTCAGACTTGAAATTTTGTGTGGAGTCTGCGATCGTCTAATTTCCCGTTGCCTATCCAACTCCTCTCCCCCAGCACTCGGTCTGCGCTTGCTTGTTCCCAGGGCTTGATTAAATGCCATCACCTCATCTTCGCTTGGTCGTTCGTGGTGTCGTGACATGTCCTACGCTTTCCTCTCCCTATCATCACTTACCGCCACTAATTACTGGCGCTGACGATGTTTTCGATCGTAAAACGCTTCCTACAAACTTTTCATTTACAAACAGCAATATTTTGAAGTTGGTTGCTGCTTCCTCCACTCGTTGCATCTATTCCTTAATAATTTTGGAATTCTTGGGTAATGACTCTGCCTTGCTCGTGACGTCACGCCGTCACCGCCAGCTAACTCTGCTTTGCTTGAAATTGACTCAAAACCACCACTTCCACCGGAGCCAGTGACGGTGTTTGGCGTCCAAGCAATTCCGCCGCAATTGTGGAGCCTGGGTATTGTTCGTTTCCTGTTCCTCCTCGATTTGTCATTGGAGAAACATTGCAAACCAATGAGGCTGTGCGATCGCAAATACACGGCTCGTGAATGACGTTTGACTGTTTGATGCCACTAATACTGCCCAGAAAAGAAGTAACTTGTTCCACTAACAGCCAAGCCATGCTGAAGTGATTACGCCAGATAGACATAGCAGCCTGTTATCTGCGCCAATTCGGCTCCTTATTTACACAAATATTTTCCAATGAACATCGCGGTTGGTCTGCAAACGCACACGTTGGTGAAATTGAATTCCAGTGAGCCTTGTGACTCGGGTGTTACTATGACTACTTCGGAACTGGCCTGGTTTAGCACCCACCTGCTAGAGTGCACACCTGACTGACGTTGCTTTGCTTTTCAGGTTCAAAGTGAGGTTCCAGACTCGCCGATATTCGTGATGAAGTGCATGGAGCATGTGCGTCACCTGGAGGTCCAGCTGCTCGCCGACCAATACGGTGAGGCGATTAGTCTGTACGGTCGCGACTGTTCAGTGCAGCGGCGTCACCAAAAAATCATCGAAGAAGCCCCCTGCATCATCGCGCCGAAGTCCGTCTTTGATGACATGGAACAAGTAAGGCCCTATCCGCTTCTCGTCCATTATGTATCTCCATTTCACCGTACTCAGCTATTGCCGCGTTACAGGATGCTATTCGGTTGGCTAAACTGGTCGGCTACAGCAGTGCGGGGACAGTCGAGTACCTGTACAAACCCGACACTCAGGAATATTTCTTCCTTGAATTGAATCCACGCCTGCAAGTGGAGCATCCATGCACAGAGCAAATTTCAAATGTAGACTTGCCGGCGTGTCAGCTTCAGGTGAATGATTTCCCAAATGCGGACATTCATACTACTAATTCGTTTTAAGTAAAACGTTTATTTTGAGTTTCGCAGATTGCAATGGGACTACCTCTGATTCGAATAAAAGAAATTCGCCAATTTTTCGGCTTGTCTCAGTCCTCCGATCACAATGTTTCACTCAGCACCAACCTACACTTACGCCGCCCGCCCAGATGCCACGTGATTGGCGTTCGGGTGACCAGCGAGGACCCGGACGAGGGCTTTGAGCCCCACTCCGGCGATGTGCTTGAACTCAATTTCAAGAGCAGTCGCTCGGTGTGGGGTCACTTCAGTGTGGGCACTGTGGGTGGCATCCACGAGTTTGCAGACTCGCAGTTCGGCCACTGCTTTTCGTCTGAATCTTCGCGTGAAAAGGCGAGAGAGTAAGTGAGGCTGGCCGATAACTTGTCTTGATCTGTTGATTCGACACGCGTCCCTAGGGCCGCATGTCGGGTCGCATAAAGGGTTACCAGGGGAACAAGATGTGTATTGTTTTGTTCTTCAGGAATATGGTGTCTGCTTTGCGTGAACTCCTTATCCGCGGCGACTTCAGAACCACCGTTGATTATCTCATCAAAATTCTGGAGTCCGACGCCTACATTCGTAACGAAATCGACACTGAATGGTTGGATCGCCTGATCGCACAAAAAGACAGGGTCAGTTTTCCTGTTGGCTCTTTTCTGAAAACTTCCTCCTCTTCTGCCTGTTCCGTTTGACATCGGCGAGACTTCAAGAAATCGGCCTTTTTTCAGCCAAGAAGCTGACGATTCGCTCTTTATCCACGTCCTTTTTTGTCTTTTTTTAGTCCGATAAGCCCGATACACTGTTAGGCGTCATGTGCACTGCTCTGCACATCGGCTACAACCAACTGGAGAAAGCTAATAAAAGCTTCCAATCCAATATCGAGAGGTTGGTACTCTGACTTTTCATTAGCAGTACACTGCTGCTACGTCTAACTTGCGCGGCTTTGATTGTAGAGGACAGTTCATCCCAATCAATGAGTTAAGCAACATCGTCGACGTAACCTTGATTGCGGATAACATCAAATATGTTCTACAGGTAAGCACTTGTACTCTATGTTGTCCGTTGGCGGCTGCCACTTGAACGTTGTCTTTGCTGTTGTGTGCAGTTCACTCGAGCACGCACAGAAACGCCTTGCTCGAATTTAACTCCACCCACCTCGTTTTTATCTAAGGTCGTGCGCACTGGAAAGCACTCATTTCACCTCATCACCAATGGCGGTCTCCAGTCTGCCGATGTGTTCACCATGTCAGGCGACAGTCTGCTCATTAACCACGAGTCCTCCTCCTACACGACGTACTGCCGGGAAGATGCGCGGGGCTACCGTACCGTCATCAACAACCGCACGATCGTTTTTTCCAAGGAATGGGACCCCACCATCCTCAGGTAGGTCGTCGCGAGCGTCAGAGCAGCAGCTTCTAGTGCCTCCGGATGGTATCTTGTGTCGACTTATTCTTAAAATACTCACGATCAATGTTTTATTTTACTGTCAGCCAGACTTTTCAGCGCCAGCGCAAGATGCTATCGATTGTTTGTAGTACGTGTCTATTGTTGGCCGTATTTGTGTGTTTGGTTCCCTCCTTGGCTGACGAAAACGATCGAATTGCTTAGCCACATTGAGAATAATAACCCTGGTGCGCGCGTTTGACGCTTAAAGATAGGGCCTACCGTAAATACTTCCGCAACCTCACAAGGGCTCATCTTCCGTTCTTGGGTCTACCACGACTGCACGCAGCTCCAACTTGCTAAGTGATTGTGATGTGGATGTGCATTTTCCTTAAAATCAACGGTTTTTGCGTCAACTCCTCATCAAACGCGCACACTCTCACTTCCCTTCTGTTGCAGGTCGCCCTCCACAGGAAAGTTGGTTCAGTTCATTGTGTGCGATGGATGTCACGTCATTGAAGGCGAGGTCTACGCTCTCATGGAGGTGATGAAACTCATCCTCGAGTTGCGGGCCCCCGCGTCTGGTGTGCTCTTTCACCTGCGGTGCGTTGGAGCAGTCTTGGAACAGGGCACTCCCATTGCACGGCTGCAGCTCGATGATCCTCAGAAGTGCCAGAGCCTCGAGTTGTTTACGTAAGTTAGTGGCTTATGTAAGCTACCTTATCAAATACCCCAAAACAGGGCCTTTCTCTCGTGTCGTCTTGAGGCCAAATCTGACTCCCTATGAGGTCACGATTTCGAGGCGAATAAGCATGTCGATTCACATGCTCTGGTATGCGTGAGGAGTCGAGCCTTTCTTCCTTCCTATTTCTTCGTGGAGGGCAGTGTTGCCTAATTTAAGTGAAAAAACTCTGCCATGCCTTAGACTAGCATTTTGTCCAATCAGCTGGTTTCTGTGTTAATTATGCCGTCCTCTACTGGTCGAAACATCCTTTTAAGGTGTTTTGTAAAAGCGGATTTTATGTCACCAGGTCAAACTCCTGGTCCACTGTGACCACTGCTTCTGACTCTAAAACCTCTTCCATTCTTGCCCCACTTGCAGTGGACAGCTGATCCCAGCGCTCACGGCGGCTGGAGACGCCTGCAGCGCCTCTAACTCCATGGTGCAGTCGATTAGCTCCTCGTCATACGACATCATCAATCGCGGCGGCATCTATTCCGACGTCGAGTGCGGTCTCTCCGTCTCCCACACCATTCGTCCCGCCACACCGTCCGCTAACTCTGACGTCCGCCAAGTATTCGAACGCTGCCTCTGCGAGCTTGACATGGTGCTCCTCGGCTACGCCCTCCCCGAACCCTTCTTCTCTGATTGGCTCAAATTAAAGTTGGAAGAACTCTTTCGGTGTCTGCGCGACCCTAACTTACCGCTGTGTGAGCTTGAGGTAAGACTTGCCACTGCAGGTTTCGGTAGATAAGCGCCTGTATTTATGTATTTGTAATTGGTTTTATGTGCTTTTGATGTGTTTTTGAAGGTTTCTGGGTCTTACTGCAGTGTGCTTTTCCAGAACATTCAATTGTTGATTCCGGAGTTAGGCTTTACAAAGACCTTTCACTGTCAAAGATCTCTCGATTTCGAATAGCCCTTTTTTATTCGCATTCTTTGTGCTTTATCTTGAGTAATAAACGAGGCGTGACCTTTCTTACTTCACAGGACATCATCGCTAAGCTCTCGGGTCGTCTTCCGATTGCTGTGGAACAGTCACTGCAGTCGATCGCCGCAACCTACTCCCACCAATTGACCTCTGTGCTCACCAACTTCCCATCGGATCAAATCCTCCGCGTAGTCGAGGCGGGAGCACCGAACAACGATGAAGCCTCCTCCTCGGCGTACTACGAACGGACCTCGCGTCTTGTTGATCTCGCTCATCGTTTCCATGGCGGTATTCGGGCTCACGCCTCGAGGGTCATCGTCAACCTCATCGTAGCCTACGTGGCAGTGGAGCAGCATTACCAACACGGTGAGTTTGTTGTTTCGATGCTACGCTACGTCCAGATTCTTCGTTCTTGTTTTATTTCACCCAATCCATTCCCCTATTATTCACGTTTTTTCTGTGGCTCCTAGCTACATCCTATTGCAATGATACTTGTCTTGTTGACCTTTTTCGGCTAAATGCATCGTGTTGAAATATTCCTCTTGTGCCACTCCAAAGGTCAATATGACCGCTGTGTGACGCTGTTATTTGCAAGGCAGAAGGAGGGAAGCGGTGGTGGTGGCGGTGACGTTGGCTCCTGCACGTCTCCTCGCAGCGTAACGGACTTGCTTCCCCACCTGTCCACCTCCACGCGCCTGCCCGATTGGATCAAGCGTCTGGCAGACCCCACCTCCGTCGCTGACGTTCTCTCTGTTCACTTCTCGCACCACCACCTCGCCACCAAGAATGCCCTCGTCTGCGGTCTGATTGAGCAAAGCAGTAGCCTACGCGAGGGACTGCTCTCAAGGCTGAGTGAGGATTTGCTTGAGTCCCTGACGGCTCTCACCCAGTTGGGCCAGGCTGAAAACGCCAAGGTCGCCCTGGCAGCACGCGAATTCCTCATTTCTGCCCAATCGCCACCATATGAACTTCGGAGGAATCAGGTTAGCTTTCTTAAGGCCCTGTTTTAGCCGGGTGCTGGTAGTCACAGGCGATGTCAAATGTTTTCCGGGAACATTAGTTTATCCTGAACTTCGTTAGTCGGCAAGTTTACTAGTTCAATGCAAATCGTAGAATTCTTGAAGACTGTAGGACCTCCTGTGTGTGCCTCTTAAATAAAACCCATGAATCCAAATATATAGTAGTGGCCCTTTTATGAAAGAAGCTTCTCAATCGGTTATTTTCAAGGTCGAATCGATCATTCTCTCGGCGATTACCTCCTACGGGGACACACAGTCGACTACGGAGACCCTCCAACGCCTAATCTCGTCGGAGACATCGATTTTCGATGTACTCCTTGAGTTCTTCTACCATCCGAATCCGATGGTTGTCAATGCGGCCCTGGAAGTGTACATCAGGCGAGCCTACATCACCTACGAGTTGACTGGCCTCCAGCACGCACTCATTGCGCCCCACTTAAACGACGCTGGCAGCCCCCGCTGTATATTCTTCCGCTTCCTCCTCCCCAACGTCTCCACGCAAGTGTAGGTCCATAGTGGCTGTTGGCAAATTCGCAGCAGCAATAGACTCCAGCTTATTGTCAATTTCACCAAATGAGGTCAATGCTGTTGATTCCTGATCGTCTGATCACGTTTAATCTACCAGAGCCACCCCTATATGGTTAAACGTTTTTGATGTATCAATCTCAATTACCAATTCCCCATCCCATTTTACAATCATGCGTTTCGTCCGTCTTGTATGAATGATTTGTTTTCAGTCTCATTACGTTCCTACTGTTTGATGTGTTTTAGTAAAAACTCCCCGTCGATTCACTCCTCCCTTGATCTCCTTCACGAGTCACCGACGGAACCCGGAGGCATGCAGCCCACCTGCTCTGGTGGCGTTTTCTCTCCACCACCTACCAAAGACGAAACTCGGCTACAGCAGATGCAGAGTCGGGAACGTCTTGGTGCTATTGCTTTCTTCAACTCCTTCGAAGATCTCAGAATGTACGCAAATTGCCTTGTCGATGTAGGGCACTTCTTTGTGTGGCTTTGCACGTTTTGGTGGTCAATTTTTGCTGGAAGGCATCAGTTCTCGAGTCGATCTAATGTTCTTCTATTCTAGCGGCTTCCCCTTCTTCTTTCTGAGCTTCGAGCAGAGGCAGCAAGTGATGCTAAGAGAGAGACGTGCTGGCTACCAACGTCATAGCAGTTTTCCCTCAGGCCTTTCGAGTCGCAGCAACCTCGTCTCCTTCCAAGATCCGCCCTTCCAGACGGTGCGTTTTCGTTTCTCGATTCTCCCAATTTAACCCATTCATTCGGGAATCCTGTAAATTCCACTGTATTAATCTGTCTAATTCGGAGTCCAAATCTCCCCACGAATGCGCCACTCGTGACTCGCCATTGCGGGTCATCCGTGCACCCCAGAAACAAAAATCCACTCTATTTAATCTGTTGTCTTTCCAATTCAGGCAGTTGTTTTGTCGGTTGAGAAAGTGGACTCTAACAGACTGATTTGATGGTGAAACTCTGCTTTAGATGGCCTACACCTGTTTGGGTCCGTGTTGATAATTTTGCTTGTTCTTCCAGACGAATGTCGTCGACGAGCCTATCAACGTGATGAATATCGGTATACGATGGCCGCCAGACGGTCAGGAGGAGCCCGGCGAGGACGCCACAGTGCGGATGTTGGAAGCCTTCTGTCAGGAGCACTGCGACCGGCTCAAGTCCGTAGCTGTTCGTCGCGTCACCTTCATGCTCATAACCCCTGTAAGTCATATTCCAATCTCTTCAATGGCTTCTGACGGCGGATTACATTCGGTCATTGTCTCAGCCCAATGCGAACGTCTCCACATCATGCTTCCCTGTTGGTAATCGTAGTAGCGAGAGAACAAGGCATTTAGGAGATACGTCCCAACTACGATTTGTAACTGAGGTGTAATTTGATTTTCTATTTTACAGAGAAAACTTCCCATCTTCTTCAATTTCCGTGCCCGAGACAACTTCAAGGAGGATAGGGTTTATCGCAACCTGGAGCCCGCCCTCGCCTTCCAGCTGGAAATTAATCGTTTGCAAAACTACGACCTCGAGCCGATACCCGTGCTGAATCGACGTATGCAACTGTACATAGGAAAGGCAAAGGTACTTAATTCTGCATAAACGCTCGTTGCTCTTGATTTTGGAGTTGCGTAATTTAGTAATTTGGCAAGATTGTGGTTTTGCAGTATGGAACATAACTCGATTTTTAACAGTAAGTGGGCTCAATTCATTTGCCACTTTATCCAACGGCGTTTTTTAATCTTTCCCACAACTTCATGATTCTGCGCTCAGAGAACACAGGGCGCGATTTTAGGTCAGTTTTGTAAGGGTTGCAGCAAGCAGTGCCTTTCCACGATAATGCGAGGTTTTTGCGTTGTCTTGATGAGAGTTGCCAATTTCGGTTGTATTTGGACTTCTTCTTGGTCCAATTTCAACAGTTGTTGACAGTGAGTCTGAATTGATTGTTAGGTTCCTTGAGGACATGCCGAAATACACAGCGCCTTGGTGATTTTCGAGCGAAATTTCGTTAACCGGGTCTTTGACGTCTTGATTTTGATTTGTTGTGTATGCTATACAGTGTATCTGCAATTCGCCGCATTGTCATTATCACCGCGATGCATTTAACAAATGAATTTGGTTTGGTCGTAGCCAGAATGACGTTAGTGTCGAACGAAATCTCCAATGGGGACTTGGCTCAAACCTATTCTGACACGGGTGTTCTTGTCTGCTGTCGTCTAGCACAGCTCTTTTTGATCAGTTACTGAAAGAATATAGTAAAATATTTCACTAATGTTCATTGTAACTGACGGCAACAAACAAAATTAGCCTATGAAGTTGGCTAGAGGGAGCATCAAGTGCTCTTTGTGTAAACCGAACTTACCTTAAATATTTGTTTCTTACTAATCTTCCATCGTTTAAAGCATTCACAGGGAAAAGAAGCAGTGGATTTTCGCTTCTTCGTGCGCAGCATGATCCGGCACTCCGATTTGGTCTCCAAAGAGGCGTCCTTTGAGTATTTGCGTTCGGAAGCCGAGCGCATCCTGCTGGAAGCGATGGACGCCCTGGAGATGGCCTTCTCGCACCCGAAGGCCGACCTTGCCACCGGAAACCACATCTTCCTCAACTTTGCGCCAACCCTCCTGCTGGAGGACATCTCTCTCCTGCAGGGCACCGTGAAAAGCACCATTCTGCGCTACGCCACTCGACTCATTAAGCTTCGAGTCAAAGAGGTGAGACCTTTCTGGGACGGGTCGTGTTTGCGAGGCCAGACACCGCCTTGTCACCCCTTTGGCATGAGTATCTCTTGTTCATTTTTCAAGCCGTCTGGTCTCTTCTACGGGTGATTCTGGCATTCACTCAGGGGCTCCCTTAATTCCACCTTAATTGTTCATCTAAATACCTCGGTTTTTGAATTCCAAAACTGCTAGGGTTCTACATCCCACAAACTTCAGCTTTAGGTCTCTGCCAGTTCAATTGTTTTGGCGTGCAGTTGTATTGCCGTCGCATGTTTACATATTTGGAAACTACTCTTATCTGCAACTCCCTTATTGAATGGCGTCCTCCAAAGAAAGTCCGCGTTCTCGAAAACAGTAACCCCTCGCATTTCGCACACTTCATACATCGCGGACTCTCCCCTAAGCCACTTTCTTAAGACTTAAATGGATGCACAAAAGTGCTAACGGCTACCCTCTACCAGGTCTGCCAACGTGAGATCGTTCACATCACGCTATTAATTTATTCCGTTTGTTGGGGTTTCGGAACGAGCTTACTGCAAAACTGGTTTCCTTTTATCGGATCTTCCAGTGTTATCAGAACGTGTTGATCTACTTTTCGTTTTTCCTGCCGTGGCCTTGAGGCTCACGGATCAGTCAGTATCCAGAAATTGGGTTCTAGCTAAAGCGACTTATCTGCATTTTGTTTTCCTGGCCAAAGTTGACATGCTTCCGCGTCGGTTTGTAGGCAGAATTAAAGCTTCTTATTCGTCACAGCAAAGACGGCCCCCGGATCCCCATCCGATTGCTCATCTCCAACGAACAGGGCTACAGTTTGGTGGTAGAGTTGTACCGCGAGGAGCCGAACCCTAACACCGGTGCTATTCACCTTGTCTCCTACGGTCCACGAATTGGAAATCTTCATGGGTGTCTTGCTAGTGCCCCTCACCAGACGAAGGATTTCCTACAACTGAAACGCTTCCAAGTGCGTCTGTATTTTGTTTTTGCTATGTTATTTGTGATCCGTGGCACCTAGCCCTATCCAACTACTTGTGTGCCTGTAAAAACTGGCATTTGGGAATGTTGAAGTTGTCTAAAGAGGCGTCTGGTCGTTTTCTAGCAAGGGGTAAATGACACGCAGTTTTGAACTGGGGTTTGCTTTTACCATTTTTAGGTGCTGCTATTCGCCTCAACCGATAGGTTTGGTGTGAGATACCTCTTAAATAACCACATGCAATAAGTGGCAATTAAGCCATGGAATTTAGTGCACATCAACTTTGTGATTGGTGCGGTATTCCAATGTTCAGCCTGCTTGGGTTTGACCGTTCAATGAGGGGACTTACTGGTTAGCAGTTTTCCCGCATGATTTTGTGACCGTTAGTGAATACAATGTCTTAGTAGTGAGTGAACTGCTCTTCAGTTCGATTATCTTTCATTTTTTTAGCACCCTTGTTAATACTATAGTTCACTGACTTTCGTCTAATTAATTTGCGTAAGTGGTGACGGTGTCACACAAAACTGTGAAGTCTTTTACCAGATACTTCATCATATATCTTGCCACCAAAAGACATTGGTCAAACATTATTCCATTTACACTGATCTTGTCTTTTAAGGCACAAAAATACAGCTCAACTTATGTCTACGACTACCCGGTGGTGTTAGGTCAAGTGTTAGACGAGATCTGGAACGCCTTCGGAGGACGTCCGTCCCCCAAAAGAGCCCCTCGAAATTCCAAGCATGGAATGAGTCCCCACCTTCTTAAGTGCAGAGAACTTTGCCTCAATACGGCTGGGGAACTTGTCCATGTCGACCGCCGACCCTCTTTAAACGAGGTGAGACAGACCCGCGCACTGTTCTGCATGTGCTAAGCGTTATTGGTAGTGCTTGACGTCTTCGCCTGCGGTTATCCTTTACTCCATCTCCTAGATTGGCATGGTGGTCTGGTACGTTGTGATGAGTACGCCCGAGTATCCGGAGGGTCGACCGATTGTCCTCATTGCCAACGACGTCACCCACAACGCAGGTTCCTTCGGACCGTGTGAAGACCTCCTGTTCTGTCGGGCTAGTAAATTAGCTCGCTGTCTAGGCATCCCACTAATCTTTATCGCGGCCAACACAGGCGCTCGAATTCGATTGGCCGAGGAGGTGAAGAGTGTGTACAAGATCGCGTGGGTTGACAAAAAGTGCCCCGACAAGGTATTATCGTGTCCTTTGTGCAAACCTATATTTCACGTTACTGACTCATCATATTAAGTGTTGTCCTCCCTGTAGGGTTTCAATTATCTCTACTTGACCCCACAAGACTACGATAGACTACGCCAAACGAAATCCGTCAATTGCGAAAAGGTGGTGGAGGACGGTGAGGAGCGCTACAAACTGGTCGACATTATCGGTGAGTTTGGTACTATCCACCTACCACCAGTCTCCATTTAACGTGTTGACTTGATCATAATGTGCACCGGTGTGTGCAATGCCAACATGCCGTGTACAAACTCCTTAGCACTTTTCAACCTTCAGGCAAGGACTTTGACATATCGTGTGAGAACTTGCGTGGATCCGCGATGATCGCGGGCAAAACCGCAGTGGCCTACGAGGAGTGCTTTACGCTCAGTATTGTGACCAGCCGAACAATCGGCATCGGTGCCTACTTGGTCCGTTTAGGAAGACGCGTCATCCAGGTAGATCATTAACACTGTAGATTTGATCTAATATGAAATCTCCCTACTACTTTTGCTCGCATATCTTTTGACGTGTTTATCATTCATCGAATTCTGTGCTGAGTTCCAGTTTTTCACTGTCACACCAAATTAATCATCTTGAAATTTTTGTCCTCTCCGTGTCCTCTTCCACGTTTCCTCTTGTAGATCGAGAACTCGCACATCATTCTGACTGGTGCAATGGCATTGAACAAACTACTCGGGCGACAAGTGTACACTAGTAATAGCCAGCTTGGTGGTGTTCAGGTAGGCTCTATTGAATAAGGTAACAATGATATTTAGTTTAGACGTAATAAAATTGCGTGTTATTTCTTTTTCCCTTAAGATAATGGCAAATAACGGTGTGTGTCACCTTGTCGTGCCGGACGAGTTCTCTGCATTCCAGCAGATGGTCAACTGGT